GGCACCCTCTCTCTCCTTCAATCTATCAATCAAGCATAAGCAATTCCAAGAATAGTTGGCTTTTGAAGAATCTCTTGTTTCATAATTGTTGAGCTTACTTCCATTTCGAGTGAAAGTGTTGGGTGAATATATTTGAAAATCGGTTCCACCAGAAGACGACGGCGGATTCCTCTTTACCAACTGTTCATTGGCTTTAGTGGAAGATTCATGATGATGCTGTTTATGAGGTAATCTCTTTCGATTCCGGTGAAAAGGTGCTAAGCGGAATGGAAGGAGATTGCCTCGGAAACAGCGTCAGCATGAATAATCCAGTTTTAAATTGGTTGTCACGATGATACCCTCCTTGCTCTGATGATGTTCGTCACATGACGGACGTTAGCACCTTTTTACAGGAATCGTAGGAGATTCGTTGTGGAAGCAACCTTCGAATCTCTTCACGCAACATTTTCACTTGAAATGGAAGTAAACTCAACAATTATGAAACAAGAGAGTCATAGAAACCCGACTTTTTTTTGCATATATTCAAATCTTTTCACCATGCACTTCCATACAAAATGGTATCCCCAATAATGTCATATAAAGAGGTTCATCAAAACACAGATACCTTTCGTATTTTCTTGACTCGTTCATTTGAACTTGGTTGTGACGAGGATACTCTCGTTGCTCTGATGATGTTCGTCATGTGACGGACGAAAACTTAACACCTTTTCGCCGGAATCGAAGGAGGTTACTTCGGAAACAGCTTCATCATGAACATTTCCCTAAAGCCAATCGACATCTGGTCGAGAGGAATCGGTCGTCGTCTTCTGGTGAAACCGACCTTCGAATCTCTTCACGCAACACATTCACTCGAAATGGAAGTTAGCTCAACAATTATGAAACACGAGATTCTTTGAAAGCCAACTTTTCTTGGAATAAATTATGCTTGATTGATAGATTGAAGGAGAGAGAGGGTGCCAGTGAGTCTTCTTGACTCTTTAGCTTCAATTTGGTTGTCACGATGATACCCTACTTGCTCTGATGATGTTCGTCACATGACGGACGAAAGCTTAGCACCTTTTCACAGGACTCGAATGGGATCCGCTGTCGTCTTCTGGTGGAATTGGCCTTCGAATCTCTTCACGCATCACTTTCACCCGAAATGGAAGTAAGCCTACCAAGCAGTGGTGGTACAATTTTGCCACAATGAGATGAGTAAATTGATGTTGTGGCGTCTGTTATGGTCGCAGTCTCCTTTCGATTTACAAAAGTGGGTTGACCTCGTTGTCACAACTTGGTCTTGTTGTCAGGGCGACTATGTAGAACGCACCTTGTCTCTTTGACGAGTTCCCTAGCTTGGCACGGAGAATGGCAAAACTGACTGACGATGCCGACGAAAAGTTTGAGAATGTATCAAGTCGACTGTCTGATGCTGGGAGTCATGACAGCTACGCTGGCAGACGACTTCGGACTAGGTGCATTCTACACAATCGCCATGACAACAAGACCAAATTGCGACAATGAGGTCAACCCACTTTTAGAGATGAATAAAGTTGATCTTTCCAATGCCGCTCTCGAGACTCCACTTATTCACAGAGCCTTGCTTTTGCAAAAGCTGCTCTCATCGC